GGGCAAGCAGGCCTGCTTTTCGTTCCACCCGGCTCCTGCAAGGCTAGTTTTACACCCGAAATAACAACACACAAATTATATTCATTTAAATACTGCCTGGCCCATTAGTTTCAGCCTCTTATTGTGTAATGCTCACATCTTAATTAACCCATTTCTATTAATGTGTGTAGCACCATGAGGTGATGGCTTACTGGGAAAGATTCAGCATGTCTGACCTGGTAGCTGGATCCATGGCATCTGACCTCACTTCCCTTCTTCCCAGCATTCTGTTCTGTCCACTCCACCTATCTAAATCCTGCCCTATCAAAAAGCCAAGGCAGTTCCTTTATTAACCAATGAAAGTTACAAATAGACAGATGACCCTCATCCATCACAATCTAATTATGGGGGCCTTTGTTTAATGTCTTTTTCTCTTTATTTCACATATCCTTCAATAAAAATAATAATTCGAATCTCCTCTTTGTATTTTTTCAGGAGCAGTTTTTAATCCCAAACAAGGCAAAATTTTCTTTACCTTTTGAAACATTGCAAAGTATATAGATTTTGGTCAGCTAATAAAATGTTATCCATATAAAGTTAAACTGTAGAATCAGGAACTGCTTATGTATCATTTCTAATGGCCGGCTTATAAAATATTTGAACAGGGTGGGTCTATTTAATATTTCCTGTGGGAGACCATTTCATTGATATCTCTTTACAGGGTACGAATTATTACAAGTAGGCATGGTGAAGGCAAATCTTTCTCTGTGTTTTTCTTGTAAAGGTACAGTAGAAAAAAAAACTCCTTCACATCAAAACTCAAGTAGCCATCCTTTGGGTAAAAACCCTTCTTTTCCTGTGGATTCTCCTCTGTGGTTTGGTGTTTTCCCCTGATGCTACATGTTGCATTTGAGATTTTTTTTCTTTGAATTCTTCATCTGGCAGAGAAACAACAACAAACTAGAAGCGATCAAAACTCCCCGATGGTAACCCTGCAACAGCAGAATGTGTTCTCCATGTTCCAGCCCCACAAGATGTTGTTTGGCTCTCTTGTGTTTCTGAATTTAGTGTTGTGCTCTAAAACCAAGTTCTCTCTCCTCTCCTCTCCTCCCCTCCCTCCCTCCCTCCCTCCCCCTCCCTCTGTTCCCTCCCTCCTTCTCCCTCTCCCCCTCCCCCCCTCTCTCTGTTTTTAGACCACTACCTCCTGGAATACACATGCATTTTTGAAATTACCCAGGACTGCTTTGAACTCAACCACCACTGTACTCATAAGAGGCAGACACCAGGTGGCCACCAGACCTCTACTCATATTTCATTTCAAAGGCTTAGCAGTGCCTTTCCCATATGAATTTCTTATGATTATCTCAAAGTAAAAAGTCAAAATGAATGTTTTACTCTGGAGTAAGTTTCTAAAATAAGCAAACCTGTGTGTGAAATCACTGTAAAGTGACAAAAAAAATAACTAGTAAGTGTAATAAACATTGCTGAGAGGCCTCCATTCACTGAGGATTTTCAGAGCAGCCTGACCACCAGCCAATCTCCCTCCAGCGGCAGCAGGTGGTGGCGGCCATTCTTTACCAAGATCACATGAAACCAGCCCCTACCGGAGCTCTATTACGCGGACTTATGGGAAATGTAGTTTCAATCATTGTGATGTCACAATCATGGATCGCAATGTCGCCTTCTGATTTCCGATGCGCATTCCACCCTCTGCACTTCCCTCTCCAATTTGGACTCAAGGGTTTTACTACCCTGCTGGGGTTGCATCTCTGAGCGCAGGTTGGTTCGGGGTGCAGGGCAGCCCAGCAGGTCTGAGCGGTAGTGCAGGGGGAGCCTGTAGGTCCATCGTGAAAGGAGTGGGCGCTGGGCCGTGGGAAGAAGGAAGAAGCTCACTTTGGATTTGCTGTTCCTACCTAGGCTGCGCCATCCAGTCAGGATTTAGGTCCCCGCCTGAGACAGGGCAATGGGGTTGGTGCTGGGTCCCCTGATGCTGCAGTCCGCCCGGGATCTCGTTCCGGGACAGGGCGGGCCAGCTGCCAGCCCCCGAGCCACTGCCGGGAGCTCACTTTCCAGCTCGCCCTGGGAAGCCTGCTGCTACCAGCTGACTCTGAATGGCTGTAGTCAGGATTTTCAGCGGTCCAGAGAAGAAAGTGGAGTTTCTGATCCTTACTGCGCTGTATATTTATTTGGTTATAATGAGAGATCTAGGAAGGACGTGCGGACCCTTATTTGACAAAGCCAAGTTCCAGATACGACATGACGATTATTTTACTGGAGCTCCCAAACCTTTGTGCTGTGTTCCATAGCTGGCTACACAGGGAGAGGCGCGATCCATGACCATAGTGAATTTTATCACAGATCTCTGTAAAACTGAACGCAGAGAATGTTCAGTACATAGACGTAGTTTCAGATATCAAGCAGACGTCTCCTTATTACTAGTTGTGCACTAGAATTGGAATGAAATAATGCCTTTATACTGTAGAAAATGATTCCTTTTTTATAGGGTATGTGTTTGTGCGCCCCCTTTAATCTCCCTTGCCAGAGTCTGATCACTTATAAGTCTTTAATATTTAGGACAATATCAATTTGGAGCTCAGGAATTCCTTCCTATTAGATAACAGGATACATAGAAGTTGTGAGAAATATAGAAAATTCTGAAGTTTTTCAAGTAAATATTAAAGTATATGCAGCTGCTATTGTAAATGATAAAAAATGTGAACAATCTCAATGCATAACTGTTCCGTGGAGGAAAAACTAGCGGGCAGGCGTTCGTGTTTACTGCATCCTGAAGATTGTCTGATGGAACAGATTCTCAGGCTGTATCAAAAATAACTAGAGGTGAAAATCTGAAGAAATTTTAACTTCCAAACTTGTAATTTCTGTTCAACCTTTTTGGCCTCTAAGGAAATTTCGAGAACATGCCATTATCTTTGCATTTCTTAAGCATCATATTGTGCAGAGGAAATACTTTAAATTTTTTATAAATTCCTTTTACTCCTTATTAGTTTTTTCATTTCTATCTCAAATCTGATTACTTTGTTATTTTAAATTTTTGTGCCAGGACAGAACATCAGTATTAGCAAGACTGCGGTGGTGCACACCTTTAATCATAGCACTTGAGAGGCAGAGGTAAGTAGATCTCTGAGTTCATGGCCAGTCTGGTCCACAAGAGCTAGTTCCAGGACATGCTCCAAAGCTATGGAGAAACCCTGTCTCAAAAATCCAAAATAAAGAGACATGGTATTTATTAATCTATTTTTTTGATGTTGCTGTTAAGTGGATAACTCTACAGTTTTCTTTCAACATCAGAGGTCTGATAAGGAAAAGTTAGAGCAGAAAGTATAATCCAGATGGCCTCTGTATCAATTAATAAATATTTTAAATGTCATATTCAATGGATCTCTAAGGATTTTGAGGACCATCTATTAAGTATGCCTGAATTTACACAAACTTTCTTTGTATTTACTTCTCTATTTGAAAACATGTATGGAAGACTAAAACTTATTCTCATAAATGAATTACATTTTTCCTGAGTTTAACTACATACTTCTGAGCACATGGAAGAATTGAATCATCTCTAAGGTGACTGACCATTAACTTGTGTGTTTTAATTATCCTTCACAATTTATAATAAGTTAGTAGCTTCTATAAGATGAGGATTTTACAGTTTTATCCCTGTTAAGCTTGAGCCTTAATATTTTGAATTCAAGATCCCTTAGCATTGAACTAAAACATTAAAATGTAATTCTAGTTTGTAAAGACAAAAATGCTAGTCATATTTCTTTAATTTGGTTTCTGCTAGTCTGAGTAGACCTTAGGAATTTAGGCGTCACTCATAAAATATATCTTGTTTTTTTTTTACTTTAAAATTTTAGAAGTCTAGTGTTAACAAAGAAATAAGTGGTTAAACTTATACTTACCAAAGACATAAATTGTTAGACATACATCTCTCAGTCAGCTTTTTGTCAACTTGAGTAATCATTATAATCTTAGTAATTTAATGGTATATACAATCCATTCTAATCTAAAATACATTAGAGACCTGCTGTTGACAGTTTGGTCTATAAAAAAATACAATAAAACCTAAAGTTTTATTGTACTAGGAAGTTTTATAGGTGCTGCGTAGTTGGTTTTATACATCATGGTCATCTCAATCCGAATGATGATGAAGTCATATGGTGTGTGTTCTTCAATTTTAATAAAGATGACTTCTGGGGGGCTGGAGAGATTGCTCAGTGGTTAAGAGCATTGCCTGCTCTTCCAAAGGTCTGGAGTTCAATTCCCAGCAACCACATGGTGGCTCACAACCATCTGTAATGGGGTCTGGTGCCCTCTTCTAGCCTGCAGATATACACACAGACAGAATATTGTATACATAATAAATAAAGATTTTTTTTTAAAAAAAGATGACTTCTGAACACATGATTGTCTTCATCCTGATGAGGTCATCAGTCCAGATGGAAGCAAACCACGTTGCTACTATTTAAAAACTTTTTTTTGCAGTGTTTTGTTATAGTCCTATATTCCTGAACAAGAGTTGAATCATATGTGTAGTATACTGTAGTAAATGAAAATTTCTTATTTTGGGCTGGAGAGATGGCTCAGTGGTTAAGAGCGTTGCCTGCTCTTCCGAAGGTCCTGAGTTCAATTCCTAGCAACCACATGGTGGCTCACAACCATCTGTAAAGAGGTCTGGCACCCTCTTCTGGCCTTCAAGCATACAGACAGGATATTGTATACATAATAAATAAATAAATATTTTTTAAAAAAAAAAAGAAAATCTCTTATTTTGTTTCCTTTGTCTCCCATCCCCATTGTTTACACAAATCATTTACAGGCATTTTTCTCTCCTCTTCCATGGGGTCTCGTTATTTCAGTTCCTATGACAATAAAGTGGAAGAGGTATTGCTCTGAATACTTCATTCTTTGAATCTGAACAAGTATTTCGCTAAGTGTATTAAACACTGTCACAGGATACTGAGAAGAACCTGTATTTATCCCACTCTTTCATTAAAGGTCATGAACCATTTAAATGAGTTCGGGGCCTGAATTTCATGCTCAGGAAGCCAAACATCAGCCCAGACTTGCTGGATCTGATCTGCACCCTCATTGTATGTACCGTTTGTGGTTGTTCCTATGGGCTGAGCAGTACCCTCTCCATCTCCATAGCTCTGTAATGTTTATGTTTGCTGTATCATGATCCTAGCACAGGACACAATGCTTATTTTATCTCAAGATTTTATTATTTGTTGTTGTAATGCTAGTGTCCTTTTATAAGGCGTTGTCTCATCATCTGTAACTGGAGTTGTAAACAGTTGTGAGCAGCCATGAGAATCCTGCCTCCTGAGAATCCTCTCCAGGTCCTTTGGAAGACCAGTCAGTGCTTTTTACTACTAAACCATCTCTCTAGTCTGAACAGTACCCTTCTGGAGATGCACTCACTCTTGATTTTATGGTTCTCATGACTAAAATATCCCTTGGAGTTTTAGAATCTCCTGTCATTCAGTGTCCTTAATGATGAATCCTGTCAACATCACAACAGTGCAGCAGACTTGTTTATGGATATTTTTTCCCTGTGTCAGAAGGGCTTCCAGCTCTCTTCTCACTCTTGGTGACCTTTAGATTTATATCCAGAATACAGATGTCTCCTGTTATTTGTGCTTTTATTGTTGTTTTAATTAGTATAATACATAGTATTTATTCATTTTCTTCATTTCAGGAAATGCTGTCATTCAGGGATGTGGCCATTGATTTCTCTGCAGAGGAATGTGAATTGCTGGACCCTGGTCAGTGGGATTTGTACAAGGATGTGATGTTGGAGAATTTCAGCAACCTTGTGTTCCTGGGTGGGTTGTCCTATGTTTAAATCATTGCTGTCTTTAGGCCCTGACTCTCCTAATCAGGAACTGCAGCTCCAGCGCTGCCAGCAGTGCTTGTGCCACAGGAGCTGCAGCCTGAGGGAGTTCTGTTCCCTCGTGCACCGCCTCTTTCAAGGCTATGAAGGGAACTTGTATAAATCTCTGTCCTTCTAAGGAACTCAAGATTCAGAGGCTGAGGTGGACTTCCTCTCTGCAGAGGGAAAGAATAGCAAATAGCTCACCTCCTCTCCTTGCTGTGTCTATGGGAAAGCTCTCATTCTTCTCCACACCCGGACTTAAAAGCTTTTCTCCACCTGGTTCCTTCCTACCCCTTCGACTGACTAGCTAGTTGCTGACGCAGCATCCTGAGCACAGGTGAATTTTATGTAGTCAAACAGATGTAACATATCTTTCCATCCTTAGTCAAATGTTCCAGGGGATGAACAAAGGTAACACACAATGAAGTAATATTCTACCACATAGGGGAGGGAATCTTCCACGGTGAGCTCTTAACTGTCAGCATCAAACTGGATTTCTTTCTACAGTATCTCAAGGGTGCTTGTGCTTCCAACAATGAAACTTATGGGGTAAATTTTAGGGAAATTAAGGAGAGTATTCATATACCTTACAATAATTCTATTTCTTCTCGTGTTCATAACACCTTCCCTTTGTTTTTAGACGTACCCTTTATATTGGGGGTAATGTCATAAGGGGCCTGAGTGGGAAGCATCCATGTTAAAAAGAATACCACACCCTTTGATTTTAATATTTTTCTTTGTAACTGAGGGACATGATGCTCAGAACCTGCACATCCTCATTTCCTCATATGCATTCTGATGGCCCCGTCAGGAAATTCATTGATTATATCCATTCTTTCCTTATATATACAGTCCTAGACAGGACATGTGATTCCTAGGAGAACACACTAATAATGATGTTCTCTTTTCCCATGAACAGGCCTTGCCTCCTCTAAGCCTTCCCTGATCACATTTTTGGAGCAAGGACAAGGACCTTCAGACAGGAAGAGACAAGGAGCAGCTGCCATGGAAACAGGTGTGTAGGAATGAGGGGACAGAGGCCAGGGTGAGAGGTTTGCAGAAAAGGAGGCTTTATCAGCAACATTAACTCACAATGTTCTGATGGACATATGATTTAAAGGATCTCCTTTTGTAGTTTACTGTGAGAAGGGGATGTTGTTCCTGGAGCTTTGATTCTGTTATGCTTTGTCCTTCTACCATTAGATCAGCCTCTGTTTACAGTAACTGACCAAGCTCTGTAATTTCTATGTAAACAGAGTTTAGTTTTCATAAGTTGGCAGCAGATCCTCATTCACGAGATGTGCATAAATCCTCCTGTCTTCAATCCTTTAAGTATATTATTTAACATTGAAAGGCACAATTTTCTACTTATTCAGCCAAATTTTCATACATTGGAAAACTAAGCATTTAGGATGTCTATGAACTATTAAATTATGTGCCTTCCAACTTGGACTACATTTATACTTTGTGTTCATCTGGACATAAAATTTCTATATGTGTTTAAGTGTCTCATTTAAATTAGCATCATAGTTTGTTTTCTTAATGGTGGATGCTATGCCTTCCCTACATGTTTGACATTGTTTATACTCATTTGTTTCTGTGTTCTATGTTGTCCTGTCTTTGTCTTTCACTTCTATTTATGTAATTTCAACCTATCATAGTGGTTTTAATTACGATGCACTGAATACATCTTTAGAATATTGAATGTAACGTTATTAATATTGAAAAATACAGGTCTGAGCCAATGTTTCTGTTTTTAAAAATAAACATAAATATAGAGAATTTTGCTCAGGTTTCATTCATTTCTCAACTTTTACTCACCAGGAAACAAACACTCTACTGGCAAAGAATGTGACAAAGCCCCTCCTTGGAACTCACAACCTATTAGCCACCAGAAAGTTAATCTAAGAAAGAAGCCATATAAGTGTGAAGAATGTGGCAAGGCCTTTCATGCTCCATCATTACTTTCAATACACAAAATTGTTCATACAGGAGAGAAACCCTACAAGTGTGAAGTATGCGGGAATGCCTTCTATTTTCCATTAAGACTTTATCTACACATGAGAATTCATAGAACAGAAAAACCCTTCAATTGTGAAGCATGTGACAAGGCCTTCAATTATCCATCACAACTGTCTCTACACAGGAAGATTCATACAGGAGAGAAACCCTACCAGTGTGAGGTATGTGGCAAGGCCTTCTGTTTTCCATCAAAACTTTCTCTACACAGTAAAATCCATACAAGAGTGAGACCCTACCAGTGTGAGGTATGTGGAAAGGCCTTCAGTCGTCAGTCACGGTTTTCCAAACACAAAAGGATTCATGCAGGAGAGAAACCCTATGGGTGTGAAGTGTGTGGCAAGGGCTTCAGTCGTCAGTCACGACTTTCTGAACACAAAAGGATTCACACAGGAGAGAAACCCTACGTGTGTCAAGTGTGTGGCAGTGCCTTCCATGCTCTATCATTACTTTCTAAACACAGAATGGTTCACACAGGAGAGAAGCCCTACCAGTGTGATGTATGTGACAAAGCCTTCATAAACCCATCATCACTATCTGTACACAAGAGGGTTCATACTAGCCAGAGACTCTATCTGTGTGAAGTGTGTGGCAAGGCCTTCCATGTTCAGTCCCAACTTTCTGAACACCGGAGAATTCATACAGGTGAGAATCCCTACCAGTGTGAAGTGTGTGGAAAGGCCTTCAATCGTTCATCACGACTTTCTCTACACAAGAAGATTCATTCAGAAGAGAAACCTTATAAATGTGAACTATGTGGCAAAGGCTACAATACTCCATCGGGAATTTCTCTGCACAGGAAGGCTCACACCGGACAGAAACCCTGCAAGTGTGAAGTGTGTACCAAGGCCTTCTATTTCCCATCACAACTTTCAGCACACATGAGAATTCATACAGGTGAGAATCCCCACAAGTGTGAAGTGTGTGGAAAGGCCTTTGATCGCCCATCACGACTTTCTATACACAAGAAGATTCATTCAGGAGAAAAGCCCTTCAAGTGTAAAGTATGTGGCAAATCCTACAGTAGTCGATCAGGACTTTATTCGCACAAGAGTATTCATTCAGGGGAGATACCCTTCAAGTGTGAACTATGTGGCAAACCCTACAGGAGTCCATCCGGACTTTATTCACACAAGAGGACTCATACAGGAGAGAAACCTTAGAAATTGGAAGTGTGTGTCAAGATCCTGTACTGCACCTTTACTTAAAGTACATGAGCGAATTTATACAGGCAAGAAACCACACAGAGTTGTAGCAAGGCTTCTATGTTCCATCATGACTTTCTGTATACAAGAGCATTCACATGAGAGAAACGCTACAACTGAGAAGTATGTGGCAAAGCCTTCCATTTATCATCATTACTTTCAAAATGCAAGAACTCTTTCATATTTGAGAGAAACCCTACAAGTGTTAAATATGTGGCAATGTCTTTAAAACTTCATGGATTCTTTCTCATTTTTAATAATCCATTCTAGAAACAAACCCTACTCTGAAAAATGTGAAAAGGCCTTGTGTAAAAAGTCATATTTAACTCAGCACAAATTATCTCACACTTGGGAGAAAACCACAAGTGCAAGGAATGTGGAAAAGACTTTAGAACTTAAACACACGTTCTCAACACCAGGCTTTTCATATTAGAGAGGAACATTAGGAGTGTGGAGAATGGCAAGGTCCTCCTTGAGCCTTCTGGTCTTAAACAACATCAAAGAATTGATTTGTGAGAGAAACCCTGTGAAGAATGAGCAAAGATTTTTTGTACTTTCTAAGACTTGAATCACCTGATCATTCATACTGGAGAGAAATGTCATTATTGTCATCAATTTTGAAAACACTTTTTATGAGCTTTCTAGTGTTTCTCAAGACAAAAGTATTTCAAACTTCAGTGAAATAATACAAGTGCCAAAATGTTCATAAAATGTTTTCTTATTTCTTAAAACTCTATAAGATAACATAATATATTCTAGATAAAAATCCTTCAATTAGGTGGGATATCCTAATTCTAAGTGGAAAATCCGGGAAACAGAGATAGAAAGAGAAAGTAGGGAGAGTCAAGGTGAAGCCATGTGACTGCCAAAAGAGAATGATGCCAGAATATTGCCAGTTAATCACAGCCTCGTGGTCATACACAGATTAATAGGAATTGGATAATTTAAGATGTAAGAGCTATCTAGGATTATGAGCCGTTGGCCAAACATGCTGTAATTAGTATAGTTTCTCTGTGATTTTTCCTGTCTGTGTTTCCAGGAAGTGAAAGCACAGTCTCTGTTTTCATACCTAACTCAGGATGAAATAATTCACACTGGAGAAAAGCCTTACAAAGATCTAGAATGGCAAACCTCTCAACTGTACCTGAAACCTTATCAAAGAATTCATTCTGGAGAGAAACCCTACACGTGTAAAGACTGTGGCAAAGACTTTAGAGCTTACACGTGACATTCTCAACAGCAGACTTTTCATATTGAAGAGGAAGAGTATGACTGGAGAATGGCAAGGTCATTCACCAGCTTTCTGGATTTAAACAACATCTAACAATTCTTGTCAGAGAAGCCCCGTGAATTGTGTGCTGTGGCATTTTTATACTTGTAAAGAAATTCTGAAACACCTGATAATTCATACTGGAGAGAAATGGCACTAATGTTGTAAATTTTAAAAACCCTTTCATAAGCTTTGAGCACTTCTCAAGACATGGTAGTTCAAACTTCAGTGAAATGATGCAAATTTCAAAATATTCATGAATTGCTTATGCTTCTTCAGATCCTAAAAGATATCAAAAATATTCTGGATCAAAACCATACCAATAGTGTGAATGTGATAATGCCTTTGGAATCATTCAGACCTTACCCAAGATGAAAGAATCCATAGTACAAGGAAGGAATATGCTTGTGAAAAATACAGTGACATATGTTACCATTCAACCAACATCTGACCTCCTTAGTATCTATTTTAGATGGACACAACACAGCAGTGAATGGTGAACCAGTGCCTTTAAGGACTCCTCATACCTTCAACCAGTGATCCTCAACCTTCCTAAAGTTGACATCCTTTAATACATTTGTATCCCAACCTTAAAATTGTTTTCTTGTCTACACCTAACTCTTTGATACTGTTAAGAATCAGAGTGTAAATATCTTTGTATCTGATGGTTTTAGGTGACCCTTCTGAGAAAATGTTTTGACCCCCAAATGGGTAATTACCCACAGGTTAAGGACTGCTGTCGTAAACAAAGAAAAATGTTCATACTAAGTAACAACCATAGAATTTGAGGAATCGAGAAAAGACTTATTTTCAGCCACATAAGACTGATATTTCCGGGTTCTAGTGGCCCTGCATGTGCATAGAAGCCCTCAGGCAGAAGTGCCTAATGCCCCCCCAGGGATGTTATAGGGCTCCTGCATGACCCATGTGTAGGTGGATCCACGTATGACACAGGTAAGCCTTTGCACACATGTGTGAGCCCCGTCATCTGCATATGACAGCCACATCAACTCCCTGTGCACGTGCGCTAGACAGCTTTTAAAAGATGGATGCGCCATCTTCCTCTCTCTTTCTCTGCACACTGACTTCCCCTGGCCTGTGTACGTCCCCTCTAATAAACTCCTAAGCGGATTTCTTGCATGGCTCCAGGAAATGTCATTGGTACTGTAAAAAAAAGCTATTACCCTAGGCAAAAACTAATTCAGGCCTTTGCTGTTCCTTCTACAAAAAAGTCCTTCCTAGGACTAGCTAGCCATTATTCAGGCCTGAGCTCTTCACCTCCCAGATTTAACTCATCCTTTTTCCCTCTATGTAACAGAAGGAGAGATATGTCCTTGGGGTCTTAGGACATCAGCTGAGACTTCCCTTTGCACCTGTAGCATACCTGTCAAAGAAGCTGGACCTCACTACTCAAGGCTGGGCACCCTGCATATGTGCTTTAGTGGCTGCTGAGCTTCTGGTTCATGAGTCAAAGAAACTAACCTTTGGGTCACACACCACTGTCTTCTCCCACCATAATCTTTCCCATCTGTTCACTTACAAAGGTTTACAAACCTTACCTCCTTCCTGAGTTCTTTCCTCAAGGTGGAGGCAAAGGCACGCCCTGCCCATGCCACTAATCAGCAGGCTGAATTAATAGCCCTTATCCCTACCTTCCAGTTAGCAAAGGGACAATCTTTAAGTGTTTACACAGGCTCCAAATATGCCTTTCATATCCTCTGGTCAACACAGCTATCTGGAAGGAGTGTGGGCTTTTTATGACAAAAGGAGGATCCATAACTAACTCAGGTTACATTATGGACTTGTTAAAAGCCTCCCATCTCCCTAAAGCTCCATTATTTCCAAGGGAAATAACCAGGGTGACCAAGGAGCTAGTGTAATGGTAAAAGTAAAATGCTGCAGATCCCAGAGTGGCAACAGTGGGCAGTGGGCCATGAGACCACACTGCAGGTCCCCTGAAGTGGCAGCAGACAGCGTGCAGCTTATCCTGAGAGCCACCACTCCCAGGCAGGGATGATGTAGTTCCCTGAGTAGCTGCAGCTGGCCACGAGTCCCAGGCAGGGAACCACATGTTGGGTAAAAGACCTCAATAGGGCAGCCATTCCCATGAGGAGAGACAAACAGATGGGCATGCTATAAGATCATGCCACAAGTCTCTGAAGGCAGCTAGTCCCAGGTAGAGAGCCACGCGGTGGGCAAGAAACAGAGACATAGATAGGCATGCCATGCAGAGTGATATTGTATATTTATTTAGTGGGTTATAAAGGGAAAGGCGGAGAAGAACAGAGAGAGAGAAGGGGAGAAGGGAGAGACAGAAGCTGCCTCTTTCAGGGGGAGACAGAAAAGGAAAGGACTCAAGCTGGAAGCTGAAGATCAGCTTGCCTCAGCAGATGGGGGAGGGAGTGAGTGTGGGTTGTCTCTTAAAGGGACAGAGCAGACCATTATATTCCCATCTCAGTTTTATAATAAAAAAACTGAAGGTTAGGCACAACAGGTTAAAGGAATTGGGGCAGCAGATTCTCAAGACTGCTTCCTGCTTATTTGTGGGTGTCATCTTGGGGTGGGACCTGAGAAAGCTGGGTGCTGGTCACATCCTGGCATAGCTGGTCCGTTTGTTCCTGTCCAATGTTTGTAGTATAGAAATGTATGGTGTCTTTTACACCTGTTTAAGGTATTGTCAGAACAGAGGTCAAAGTTAAGTTTAGGAAAAAAAATTTAGGACCAGTGAATTAAAGTGGGTGTATCTAACCTGTTTACGGTGGATCCTTCAATTTGGCTCCCTGGAACTCACAAGAATTTTTCAGTTTGTGAAAACAAAAGTTTTAAACAGCAGCATATTTATATTAGAATGACTGTAACCGAAACTTTTGCACAATGAAAAGTATTTTTAAGACTAAAGAAGGCAGTGTGGGAGAGAAACTTGATAACTTGTATTTGTCCTCACACTTTTATTCCTTACAGGTCTTTTATTTGTATTTTGTTGAAATTTGTTTGGTGAGGTTGTCCTTTTAAACTGACAAAACCTCTCAGCTGTCAAACTGCATCAGAGATCTTTTAGAAGGATAAAATTTTACTTGAGTTCTTGATTAAACAACAACAGAGAATTTACTTGTATGGGACCTTCAGCTACTCCTCAGAATCCTCCATGGTTGCTGAAAGTCATATTTGCCTTTTGCTTTGAAGCACAGAACCTGTCAGGCTCCAGAAAATCCTGCGGGCTAAGAAATCTGTAGGAAGACAATCCTGCCTTGACCTGAGCAGCTTTGCTGTTGATTCCAGTGATTCTGTCCACTTCTGGAGATCTTCAGTTTACGTGAAAAGCAGTTTTGCCTAGTAGTTAGCATTTGGCCTTTGACCCAAATTGTGGGTGGATGTTGTTCTGTGCCCATTTGTCTTCTGTCTTCTTTGGAGGAAATAGAATGCTACTGCTGGGAGCCAACCTGTCTCTTTTTGTGATGAAGTCTTTTAATAATTAAATATTTAAATACCATATTCCTGAGATCTCCGAGCAGTTGAGGGCTGTTTACCAGTTATAGATAAGTTATAATTCCAGTATAGAATCTGCCTGAGGAGCTGGGTCCAAGCTTAACTGTACTGGCTCTCAACTTAGCAGGTAAGATTTACACTCGTAAAAAAAATAGAAAGAAAAAAACAGAAACCAAGGAACAAAACAGGTAGTCAAGGCTGGAGAGATGGCTCAGTGGTTAAGAGCATTGCCTGCTCTTCCAAAGGTCCTGAGTTCAATTCCCAGCAACCACATGGTGGCTCACAACCATCTGTAAAGAGGTCTGGCCCTCAGGCATACAGACAAAATATTGTATACTAAATAAATAAACAAACAAACAAACAAAACAGGTAGTCAATTAGGACAAGACCAGACATCAGCACCTAGAATAATAATCTTCCCAATACCAGGTGTCAAATGTCTGCTCAAAAGCACAATGAATAACAGCCATTACAATATGTCTCCACTATAGCAGCAAATCTACCACAACAGGCCCTGAATAGAGGTGAGGCACAAATAAAAGACCTTAAAATAACCTTTATGCATATGATAAGGTCCTTAAAGAAAAAAACAAAGAAATTCCTTAAAGAAAGAAAAGAAACAAAAACCTGGTGGCTTCAAACTGTGGAGCTACTTGGCTGTGCTGACTGGCTGGCTTTCCTCTGCCAGCAGGGCCCTCCTGTTGAAGAACACGCACTACATGTTAAAGCATGAAGACATGTTTACTCCCAATGTTATGGACCTACCACCCCTTCATCCTGCTTTCCAGCTCAACTCAGGGGAGAAAGCTTCCTCAAAAACTCTCCAAACATCTGCCTGGGGAGAAGGGAGTCAGGCTCCTAAGTTGCCTCAGTTAAGTGGAGGGTCCCTCTGTGTGCCCTGCTGGAGTTGTGTTTTCTCAGCCCTAATAATACCGCTTCTTTTCCCTGGTGTGGTTGGGATTCTCCCAGTGCTACACGTCTCCATCTGGCGGGAAAACAGAAAACCAAAACAGAATACGACCCCCAGACTGCGACATTGCAACAGCAGAAAATGCTCTCCATATTCAGCCCCACAAGATTTTGTTCTGTTCTGTAGCTCTTTTTAGCACTGTACACAAAAATCAAGGTCCTGCTGACTTCATGGAGCCTGACCCATCACCCAGCTACCTCCTATTCCTTTTTCTTCTTTTCATTTCAATATAAGACTGTATTCCTGAGAGACAGCGCCGGGGCAAGCGAGAGCCGGACGGGCACTGGGCGACTCTGTGCCTCGCGGACGAAAATCAACTAAACATGGGCAAAGGAGATCCTAAGAAGCCGAGAAGCAAAATGTCCTCGTATGCATTCTTTGTGCAAACCTGCCAAGAGGAACCCAAGAAGAAGCACCCGGATGCTTCTGTCAACTTCTCAGAGCACTCCAAGTTCAGAGTGCTCAGAAAGGTGTAAGACCATGTCTGCTAAAGAAAAGGGGAAATTTGAAGACATGGCCAAGGCTGACAAGGCTCGTTATAAAAGAGAAATGAAAACCTACATCCCCCCCAAAGGGGAGACCAAAAAGAAGTTCAAGGACCCCAATGCACCCAAGAGGCCTCCTTCGGCCTTCTTCTTGTTCTGTTCTGAGTATCGCCCCCAAATCAAAGGAGAACACCCTGGCTTATCCATTTGTGATGTTGCAAAGAAACTGGGAGAGATGTGGAACAACACTGCTGCAGATGACAAGCAGCCCGTCGGAAAGAAGGCTGCCAAGCTGAAGGAGAAGTACGAAAAGGATATTGCTGCTTACAGAGCTAAAGGAAAACCCGATGCAGCGAAAAAGGGGGTGGTCAAGGCGGAAAAGAGCAAGAAAAAGAAGGAAGAGGAAGATGATGAGGAAGACGAAGAGGATGAAGAGGAGGAGGAGGAAGAAGAGGAAAATGAAGATGAGGAAGAAGATGATGATAATGAATAAGTTGGTTCTAGCGCAGTTTTTTTTTCTTGTCTATAAAGCATTTAACCCCCCTGTACACAACTCACTCCTTTTAAAGAAAAAATTGAAATGTAAGGCTGTGTAAGATTTGTTTTTAAACTGTACAGTGTCTTTTTTTGTATAGTTAACACACTACCGAATGTGTCTTTAGATAGCCCTGTCCTAGTGGTATTTTCAATAGCCACTAACCTTGCCTGTTACAGTCTGGGGGTTGTAAATTGGCATGGAAATTTAAAGCAGGTTCTTGTTGGTGCACAGCACAAATTAGTTATATATGGGGACAGTAGTTTTTTTTTGTTTTTGGTTTTATTTTCATCTTCAGTTGTCTCTGATGCAGCTTATACGAAGATAATTGTTGTTATGTTAACTGAATACCACTCTGTAATTGCAAAAAAAAATTGCAGCTGTTTTGTTGACATTCTGAATGCTTCTAAGTAAATACAATTTTTTTTTTTATTAAAAAAAGACTGTATTCCTTCCTCCCTTCCTCCTTCCTCCCTCCCTTCCTCCTTTCTTTGTGTTTCTCTCTATCTTTGTTTTTCTTTCTTCGTCTTGCTTTGTTTTGTTTTGTTTTTTAACACAGGATTCCTCTGTGTATCCCTGGTGGTCCTAGAACTCGCACTGCTCTCAGCCTGGCCTTGACTTAGAAGATCCACATTTCTGCTGAAATTAACATTTGTACACACAACCACCTTGCTTAAATTGCCCAGACCGGTTTTGAACTCACTCTCTAGATTGGGCACCCTTGGAGCTGTGGTCCCTGAGCCTCTCTCTGCTCATATTTCGTTTCAAAGGCTTAGCAGTAACTTTCCCATGGGAGATTCTTGTAATTGTCTCAAAGTAAAAAGAGTCTAAATGAATGTTTTACTCTGGAGTAAGTTTCTATACCAAGCAGACCTGTGTGTGAAATCACAGTAAAGTGACAAAAATAACTAATAGATGTAATAAACAGAACTGTAAGGTCTCCACTCACATCCAAACACCTCAGTTTGCATTCTGAAGATTTTAAGAGCATCCTGACTCCCTGTGTGTCTTCCTCTACCAATGGTGATCAATCAGGTCGCTTGTTTCAAGTCTTTCCCAAGGTCACGTGCTCCCAGCGACTGCCTGAATCTTTATTACACAGACTTATGGGAAATGTAGTTTCACATATTGTGACGTCACAAGCAAGGATCGCTGTAATGCTTTCTGACTCCCTTCTTTGCAGTTTACACTCTCACGCGCTTCTCTCTCCAATTTGGACTCAAGTGTTTTACTACCCTGCTGGGGTTGCATCTCTGAGCTCAGGTTGGTTGAGGGTGCAGAGCAGCCCAACAGGTCTGAGGGATCGTGCAGGGGGAGCCTGTAGGTCCATCGTGGAAGGAGTGGGCACCGGGCCGTGGGAAACAGGAAGAAGCTCACTTTGGAGGTGCTGTTCAGACCTAGGTTGCGCCAGGATTTAGGTCCGCGCTAGGGAGAGGGCGATGGGGTCGGTGCTGGGTCTCCTGCTGCTCCAGTCGTCCCGGGATCTCGCTCCCGGACCGGGCGGGTAAGCTGCCGGCCCCCGAGGCTGTGCAGGGAGCTCACTGTTCAGTTCCTCCGGGGAAGCCTGCTGCTACCAGCGGACTCACTCTGCATGGCTGTAGTCAGGATTCTCATTGGTCTAGAGAAGAAAGGGGAGTTTCTGGTCCCTACTGCACTGTATTAATATTTGGTTATAATGAGAGACCTAGGAAGGACATGCTTAGTGTTATTTGACAAAGTGAAGTTCCAGATACGACACGACGTTTATTTTACTGGAGCTCCCAAATCTTTGTACTGTGTTCCATAGCTGACTAGTCAGGGAGAGGAGCTATCCATGCCCCTAGTGAATTTTATCAGATCGCTGCAAAATTTACCGCAGAGAAGGGTCCGTACATGCACATAGTTTCAGACATCAAGCTAACGTCTCTTTAGTACTAGTTGTGCACTAGAAGCTTGGAATAAAATAATGCCTTTAAATGTAGAAAATGATTCCATTAATGGGGGTAGGTGTTTGTGAGCCCCCTTTAATCTCCTTCCTTGCCAGTGTCTGATCACTAATAAGTGTTCAAAATTTAGGACAATTTCAATTTGGAGTTCAGGCATTCTCTCCTATTATGTAATAGGATGCATAGAAGTTGTGAAAAAAAATTCTAAAGTAGAAAATAGCTTTTCAAGTAAACACTAAATTATATATCCAACTGATATTATAAATGATAAAAAAAATGTGAACAGTCTCAAAGTGTAGCTATTCTGTGGAGGAAAACTAGCTGGCAGGCGTTCGTGTTTACTACATCCTGAAGATACTCTGATAGAACAGATTCTCAGAGGTGAAAATCTGAAGATAATATAACTTCTAATAGTTGTAATTTCTTTTCAACCTCTTTGGCCTCTAAGGAAATTTGGAAAACATGGCCTTGTCTCTGCATTTTTTATTTTTAGCCCGTCCTATTACCCAGAGGAAAGATTTTAAATTTTTTGTAGATTCATTTTATTATTCATTAGTTTTTTAATCACAGGCCTGATTACACTGTTATTTTAAAATTTTGTTCCATAAAAGAACACCAGTATTACATTTTAGCAATTAAAGGCATCATATTTATTTATTTGTTTTGTTAGTGTTGCTGCTAAATGGATAAATCTCCAGTTTCCCATCAATCTGAGAAGGAGAAGTTAAAGCAGGAAGTGGAATCCAGATGGTCCTTGTCAATTATTAAATATTTTAAATGCTATATTCCTTATGTCTCTAATGATTTTGAGGGCCATCTATAAAGTATTCCTAATTTTAAATAAACATTCTGTGTAGTTACTTACTTCTCTATGTGAAAACAGGTATAGAAGACTACACCTTGTTCTCATAAATGAATTGCTTTTGTGCTGAGCTTGACTACAAACATGGTTTGGATTACATGGAAGAAATGAGTCATTTATAATGTGACTTGCTATTAACTTGTTTGTTTTAATTATCTTTCACAACTTATAATAAGTTAGTAGCTTCAATGAGATGAGGATTTTAGTTTTATCCCTGTTAAACTTGAGCCTTAAAATTTTGAATTGACAGCACTCGGGAGGCAGAGGCAGGCGGATCTCTGTGAGTTCGAGACCAGCCTGGTCTACAAGAGCTAGTTCCAGGACAGGCTCCAAAACCACAGAGAAACCCTGTCTTGAAACCGCCCCCCCCAAAAAAAATTATTTTAAAACACAGGCACCTAATTTCAGCAGAAGGGACGCTTGTAAGATCCTCTGCATTGCACGTTTAGAGGCAAACACGCATTTTCTACGCTCTGTAGACTTCTCCATTTGGAGCTCAGTTAAGGGAAAGAGGAAGGGAGAGGAAAGCTAGGCAACAGAGGAGTTAAAGTGGGTTCTGAGGAGGAGCTTCAGGCAGCGGAATTTGAGTGTCTGTGTTGAGTTCTTCCTGATTCAGCCTTCCCGNAAAAAAAAAAAAAAAAAAAAAATTTTGAATTGAAGATCCCTTACCATGGAACTAAGACTTTGAATAAAACCAAAGATTCTAGTCATATATTTTTAAGAATATTCATATATTCTGCTAGCCTGAATAGACCTTAGGAACTTAAACCTTATTAATCATACATGTTTTGATTTTTTTTATTTTAAAAACTTTAGAAGTCTAGCGTTAACAACAAAATAACTTACAGTTAACAAAGACACAAATTTTTAAACATGTGTATATCAGTCAGTTTTTGGTTAGCTTAATGTATCTTTATAACCTTAGGAATTTAATGATATATAGAAATCTATTCTAATCTAAAATACAGTAGAGACCTGCTGTTGACAGCTTAGGCTACAAATAAAATACAATTAAATCATGTACTAGTCAGGTTTATAGGCACTCCTTAGTTGGCTTTATCCATCATAGTCATCTTAACCCAAATGATGGTGAGGTCACATGGCAGGTGTTCTTCAATCTTTCTAAAGATGGCTGCTACGTCCATGGTTGTTTTTATCCTGATGGGGTCATTACTCAAGATGGAGGCAAGCCATGCGGCTACTCTTTGAAACGTCTATATTCTGCAGTGTTACGTAATAGACCTATCTTCTTAAACGAGAGTTGAATCATATTTGTAGTGTACCGTAGTAAATGAAAATTTCCTAGTAATAGATTTAACTATTAGCCTGTTTTTACAAGCGTCAAGCTGAATTTTTGATACGTTTTTTTCACCATACCTAATGAATTTATTAATCCTGAAATTAAGAATTTATAGAGAACAGATATGCTTCTATGCTTCATGTGATAATTTACATATAAGGTTAATCAAAATATTCAATGGTTGGAAAATACTTTTAAAAAGTTTA